AGGCTTCAGGAGTTAACCTCGAGGCAAAATCCGGAGCTGGAGTCCCGAAGGCAGCATATGTCGTTCTGCCAACTCCTGCGACATTGCTGGAACCAGTTGTATTGGCTCTTGCCTTTCCATTGGACCATTTCAGCAATGTGGAGAGGGGGGATCTGCTGCTTGGGTAACAGCCTATCCTCCATATTACCTTACCCGGGCTTCATGCTCTGGAGAGGACACTCCTCGATTCAGAGCATGTTACCATAGTCTCTCGAGACCTAATACTACTGCCAATACTAATACAAATAAACAGGCTTTGGCAGATCTACTCAGCAGGGTAATTACAGTAGGAGCCTCCTTTTTCTGGCACAGGGATCATAATGGGTCTTTGAGACAACTGTTCATGTAACAGATTAACCACATTCAGAGGTCTTTCAGATAAAGAGAATACTTGTTTAATTAGCTTATCAATGTTATTTGGAGCATCCTCCAGACCAGATTAAGAGTTAGACTGCAGAAATACAATCTAGAGTTTAATTCTCCATTTTGGTCTGCAAATGCACGTACACAATAACACATCCTTAATTGAAAGGATTCATGTTTTAAGTTAACCATTTCAATGCCAATTACTTGCAAATGCATATATGTAATAACAATGGCATTATCTTTTCTCCTCAATGTTCATATTTATAATTAAAAGTAAAAAGTGGCATTTCAACAGCTTTCATTAAAACTCTTTTTAAAATAAAACATGTCTCATTGATACATTCAGAATTACAGACCACTAAATGGAAAAGTTCACCCCAACTAATAATAATTAAGATTTTGGTCGTGACATTAAAACAAAAACAACCTTACTTAATTTTTAAACTAAAAATGCTACACAGAGAATTAAAATAAGCATCTTTCTGGCAAAAAAATGTGTATTATTTCTCATTTTAAGGTTTGTGCCAGAAAACATCACAAATGGTCAATATTTGAAATTACACAAATACAAAACACAAATATTTGTATGTGGAGATGATAAATTTTAAAAACTCAAAAAGGAAAAATTGTCAAAAGCAGTGGGATGAATTACAGGTTATATACACAAAAATAAATGGCATGACTTTACGAGTATCAATATACTAATCAATGTACTGAAAACCTGGCGGTTGATTCTACACATCTACTCAGAAGCAAAACTCATGGAGCAAAAGAGGTGTCACACACAAGAAACAGTTACAGGGTACTGCCTGAACTATATAACTTCTCTCACTGCTGTCTGGGAGTATGGGGCAATCCTTATATAGCCGGAAAGACACAATGTATATACAGAAGATCAAACTAGCACCAAAACTGGGGGAATCCCAAGCTTTGCATATGCAAAAAAAGCCTGTGGGGCAACCCTCAAACAAACAACTCAATTAGTTTTTATTATCTTCATTTACTACAAAGTGCTCTGCTTGGGGTGAAGTGGAAGGGGAGAGAAAACCTGAGCAACCTGGAAAGAAGGCAAGACTGGGATATTGGAAAGAAACATACCTCACTAACATATTTTAATGTAGTGCTCACTTGTCACCATAATAACCCGAACAATTTGTGCACTGGCAGTTCGGGCTCCTCTTCTGATTGGGAAATTACAGAGTCAGGGTGGTGATTCATGAAGATAAATAGGTAATTTTGTAAATAATATCGATCATAACCTTTCTCTTCTATTCGGTCTTTTGTCCTGACAGCAAGAAAATTATTTTTGTAATGAATGACACCGGAGCTGAATAACTATTTGTTATTAACAGGAAACAGATTACTATCATATTTTTCAAAAACCAAAGAATAGCTCTCCAGTACCCGGGGGGGGGGAGGAATGGCATACATGTAGCAACACCAAATAGGCACCCGTACCCTACAGATATATATCTACATGTTTACAAACACAGCACATGTGCAGACAAGACATGGTCCAAAACATCAACATCTCATGCTCTCCAAAGGGCAGGATGCTAAAATTAACAAAGTTTCTGAGATGCAATTGCCTTTGAAAATCAAATATCAGTCACAGAATACCTTTGAGACAAAAAGCAATTACCGGTATTCACATTCTGAATGTCATTACAATAATGTTCAAGCATCATCATTTCTACTGGTCAAAATGTGAGAGCCAATACCAATTGGTGCCTCAACCTGCTTTCTAGACCATCTTATTTGATGCACAACAGACATATGTTTAATCTCTGCAAGTTCTAAACCAGTCTTCCTCAAATTGGTGTCTTATAGGCATGTTGTGCTACACCTTGTATGATCAACACATCTGGAGGACAACTGGTTAGAGCCAACTGATCTAGAACACAATGAGCACCTTGCTAATGAACAGCAATTTACCACAAAGATTTGTGCAACTTTCCTTATGCAAGCATAAACTGGTAATAGAATTCTGTCCCTTAATTCTGTCTTTTCTTCTACATATAAGGTTCAAATGTTATATTTAATCCTTAAGAGATTATCAGAATTTTTTCTCTTTAAAACTGAAAATAATTTGCCTTTAGAAATTATATTAAGTTTTATTAATGACTTGAGATGAACAAATAAATGAATAAACTGAAGAACCAATTATCATGAATGATAAGGGAGAAGGAACCTTGGATACTGATAATCTTTGAGATCACTTCATCCTGTGCATTAAAACTAATCAGTATATAAAAAAATTATAAGTCATGTGCACAGTTGTTTTTCGTTCAAAGCACATTTCCCACATATGCTCAATACCTGACAGCTATAACAATCTAGTGGAGATGCCATATTTTTCTACCATTCAAACCAATATGGTTTGCATATTTCGTGTAAGCTAAGGGTCAAACTACAGATCACTTGTGATTAATTCATTCTTCTTCAGCAATACAGTTTCCACAGATATAAGTATCTGCTCATTCCAACTTGTAAATGAAGTCCACGTTTACCTACCAAGTAAGTACTTGGACAATCAGACTTGCAAATAAAGCTCACATATACCTAACCAAAGCTTTCTAGAATGCAAAACACTAAGACAAATGAAAGCATATATAGTACCTTCACCATCAGATGTCTCCCACTGTTGAAGGAAGTAACTGATCCTAATGTGCTAGCTGTATTGTAAAGTTTGATCCTAAGTATGACTTAGCTAAGTTTAATATACTTTATTATACTCTTCTCTTAAATGTAGTGTTTTTGACCTCTAAAACGTGCTACTGAAAAAATTAAAATATCTACATTTCCTTTTCTTGTACAGCTACAGCATCTATACTGGTCTACATTTTTAAATGACAGATACTAGAAGAATTATTCCATCCCACGCAACAGAGTTTTACCAGGAGCCAGCAAGCTTTTTAATAACATGCAGCTGTGTTTCAGGACTGAACTGAGAATTTTTTTTCATCAACACTTAGACAATACACTGCAGATTCTTTCAGAGTAGAAGAAACAAAACAAAACTACAATATTATTGATCAAGCACTCAGACTTTTGACAATTCGTTTAATCCACAGCTCATTTTCTAAAATTCACCTCACCCCAAAAATGAGCACAGATACATATTGATACAGGAGCCTAAAGAATTTTGCTATTGCTTCCAGCTTATTGGGAGGCCTTGAATTCCTCATCCCTGGTGCTGGAGGCCTAGCCTAATATTTTAAAAAGGCAGGCATGGGAATTGAAAAGGAGCTTCATTAAGACTGATGAACTTTTCAAGAGTACAGGTTTTGTTTTCAAAGTTGATTGCGTAACCTAATTGTTGTTTTTGTACTGTTGATATTTCCCACTACCATCTGCTTTTTTAAAACTGCAGCAAGTAAGCCGAATAATCTTTCAAGAAGAACAAACAGATGTTCCAATCAGACTTTTAGAGGCAATAGTAATAATTTTAATTTATCAGTCTGTAATGTTTCTTAAATAGCTCAGTGCACTGGCAGGAATTGGATGCGTTAATCTACATCTAGCTGAAATGGCTTCAGATGCTAACTGGTGACCTGTCAGAACACTTGGGAGGGGGTATAGTGCTAATTACAATTATCACTGCCATTCACTTCTTTACGCATTAATGAGGGAGAGAAATTACACTGTAATAACATGTTAGTATTTTAAATGACGTTGTGCACAAAGCCATTTCTTACATCAAAATATCTGTGTATGGGGCTGGCAAGGAAAAAATATTAATAAATACTAGCTGTCTTACCCCAGAATCTGCCCTTTCCAGAAAACAACATCCCTGACTTCACCCTGCCTCAGTTTAATGAGGAATGAATGTTGCCATTAAAAACCGGAAGAAACACAAAAGAACATCTCGCAAAGAAGGAGAATAAGAGACCTGGTGTGGGATTTATAGATATACTACCAATGGCCACTAATATATGTTAACAGTTTTTGGTTAGTTTGTTTGACCTAGCTACCTAGAAATAATATAGAACTGAACAACACATATAAAATTGAACACCAACATTCTTCCACCAGCGTACTGTCTTTAATTCTCTGGAAGCACCTTCAGCTGACCTATTAAACTGATCAGCTGCCATAGAAAAATTTAAAATGCATTCACTTATTCTGTGTATGAAGTACACAGAATAAATTTTTGAGGCTTTTCCTTGTTATGCGGCATCATTTTGCTTCTGATTTATGGATATGAATCAGTGACCTCCAAAGGGTCCTACCTTTAACAGCCCTTCTCAGGTTTTACAGACTAAAGGCTACAGCTTTCTTTATTGATTCAACACTCTTTGTTGGTGGGGTGGTGGTGGACTTAACTACCAAGGAACAGACGTTGCAAAATGGCATAGCTCTAGACCACTTTCTGTAACATGCAGATTTTGGCTGCCACACAAAATCAGAATTTCTGCAGCATGTCAGTGGGATTCTACTTAAGAATGAGTTGAAAGAAACAGATATGATGAATGTGTTTATATTGCTGGCCTGTTTTATTGGTTTTAAAGATAAGAATATTTTCTGTCCCTGACAACAGTAGTTATCAGTATTTACCAACATTACTTCAGCATTAAAACCCCAACATGCCTTACTTTTGACGGTGGCTGTCCGAGTGCAGTTGTAGAGGATAGCGAGTTCCCCAAATACCTTGCCAGGCCCCATAGTGCAGAGTTTCACACCTTCCTTTGTCACTTCAACCTTTCCATCTGTGAACAAAGAACACACACCTATATTAGAAAGATTCCATGTTGTTCAATTTTTTTCTCCTGTATAACGTCCTTAAAATATAAGCATGAGCCTCTCATTGGTACTGAAAAGAGAGATAAACATTGCAATGGTGATAAACATCAGTAAGAGGTTTTTACTATTTTTCATTCTTTAATGAACAGAGAGTATACACGGATGCGCCTTCCCTCGCACGTATATTTTTCCTTTGTCTCTCTTGAAGAATGGTTGGCAAAACATACACTTCCAACTCATGGTTTGTTGGACTGCCACTCCTGACCATTGGCTAAACGTGCCAAGGCTGATGGGCACTGTAATCCAACAATATCTGGAGGATCAAATTTTACTCTTCCCATTTTGAAAAAAAAAAGATACATGAATTCAAAGGGACAACCATAGAGTAAAATGAGTAACTAGAAATTACAGATAATCTCACCCCATAATCTTAATCTTGAGAGTCCTTTTTCTATAAATTAACATAACTCTAGTAATTCCATCTGTTTCTAACTCACATTGTTTGATCTGACAATGTGTATTAATATTTTTTTAAAGGAAGGAACATCCAGAAACAATAGCTACATCTTGCAGTCTGCTGTGGGATCATTCTGGAAGACTTGCAGACAATCTGTTCCACCTCTCCTTAACCCCAATTGCATAATATACCAACTCACTCCATTCCCTCCCCATCTCTCAGCATGAAATCCAATGGTAGTCTAAATAGGGTAGACGCACAGAAATAAATGTGTTACGTTAGTCTCAAGCAGTATACATTCCTTTGAATGTTATGCATTTACTATAATAGGAATTAATAAATATAATCATGACCTTTTCATGGGTAGCATCTCCTAACTCATCACATCTATCCCAGTACAACTACAGTTCAGTTAGAAATAGAGATGGAGATGACTCACCATTTTGGCGAGTCCCCCTTTGTGAATCGTCAACTTTTGACGACTTACGAAGCACGAAGTTGCCCCCATGAAGTGATGAATAACAACATTATTAGTCAATTCATGGGGGGGGGGTATTAAAAAAAGACACTCACAGCACCACCAGCCTTCCTATTTAAAAAAACACCATTCTGCCTACCTGCTAACGTTCAGCTGATCAGTGGCAATAGGCAGCCACTCTCCTAAGGGAATCCAGGCTGTCCTTTGCAAAGATGGCAGATGCAGCTTCCCTACCCTAAATGAAGCCACAGCTGCCATCTTTGCAAAGGGCAGACAGTCTCATTTTTACATGCCGTGGCTGGGAGGCCAGAAGCAGACCTCAGCAGCAGCCATTAAGGAATGGTGGGGGTGGGGGCTAAGGTAGGGAGAGGAAGGGGATAAGCGGTGGGGTTGTGTGGCTGGGGGGTGGCTGCCTATTTGCCGCTGATCAGCTGAACGGTGGCCAGTAGGCAGAATGGTGTTTCTCACTTTTTTAATAGGAAAGGGGTGTTGGTGGGGGTGGGGGCTAAGGTAGGGAGAGGAAGGGGATAAGCTGTGGGGTTGTGTGGCTGGGGGGTGGCTGCCTATTTGCCGCTGATCAGCTGAACGGTGGCCAGTAGGCAGAATGGTGTTTTTGTTTATTTTTTGCAATATGATGGATGAATAAAAATGGGTAAATATTCATCCTTTCATAATTGTGGGGGTCTCTGGAACTCATGAATATGAAGGGATGAATATTTAATGAATTGACTATTTTCGTTGATTTAATGAACTGGCTATTTTCGTTGAAAAGCCGATTTTATATTTGTCCCCATCTCTAGTTAGAAATCTCAAGAAATTCCTAGCCTGTTACAGCCTTGCCTTCCTGCAGGTGGCATTTGGTAGACTTGTTGGCCAGGTTAGTAAAGAGAATTTAAAAAAATCATCCCATTTCCTCAATCCTGGCCACACTGCACTGGCTACCAGTGCATTTCCATATCAGCTTCAAGGTGATGGTCTTAGTCTTGACCTATAAAGCCCTGAACAGTTTGGGACCTCATTACACAGTATAACACTTACTTCCAACACGGAATGCCCATCCTACCCATATCTCCAAGCCTGGGCAGCTGAAGGCATTGACCTTGAGAGAGGCCTGGAGGAAGAAACAAAGAACCAAGCCTTTGAAATGAATTACCATTGAAAATTGGCCTGGCCCACTCTCTGATTTCCTTTGAGATGCTTTAAAAACCTTTTTATTCCATCAGGCATTTCAAAATCTACCAACTAAGATCCTTGAGAGTATCAGACTTTTGCCCAGTTGCCGCCTGTTTTTAGTTTTGTTTTAAATGCTTACCACTCAATATAACTTCTTAATTTAATGCACTTGATTATGCCATATCTGTTTTTGTTATTGCTATTGTCTGTGAACTGTCCAGAATGACTATTGGTCAGATGGGTGATCTAAAAATCCCTCTTCCTCTGTATTCTCTCTCATTATCCCATAACCAGCCACACCCATGCTGTAGATACCAAAATCCTTTCGTAGTGAATCCCATATAAGAAATATTAGATATGGATCAGAGGATTCTATTATGCATGCCCAGGGAAATATTTAATGACCTCCCAAGTCTAAGGGTGCAGCTAAATTGACAAATAATGTGCAAAATGCTCTAGCATTGGGATGGTCAGATCAGCATTCTTTTCCCTTTACTAAATAACGCAGAAGTCAATGCAAATCAGGCAGTAGTTCCCACACCCCAATCCAGTTTCTTCAGTCATTGTTGGGGTTCTACTTTTCTGGAATCAAATATATTTGTATTGGCTCAGGTGCTGTGATCACTAAAGCTGATGTGGAGTTGTTTTGTGGAGGAGCTGTTTTATTTGAAGCCACTCCAGCCAGCTACAGCACAGAGGCAGGTCAGTGGGGAAACTGGCTGCCATTTGAATCCTCCCGTCACCACACCTAGTGAGTCTGCTTTCATCTTCCCTTCTCTTCCCATTTCCTTCCTTCCTTCCTTCCTTCCTTCCTTCGTCTTGCTTTTATAACACATGGACAGCTAGGAAATCAAACAGGGAAAAAGAGCAAGAACCTGGCAGAGAGAAAACAGGAAGTTATAAAGTAGCTCTCATCTAGCCATGCATCATGCGGATCTGGACAGTCAGAGCAGAGCTAGCTTAAAACTTCCTCCTCCTCTTCTTCCTCTTTCTCTGCGGAGTCCTTTTTTATTTTTTTCCTAAAAAGCTGGAAATAAGGCTGAAGTGAAAATGTTTTCCTGTCTCACTGCAAATTCCTTGCTCTTGTTTCTCTCTCTCTCTTTCTCTCAGGTCACCCAGCTGTCCTAACAGAAGGACAGCAAGCCCTAGGAAGGAAGGAAGGAAGGAAGGAAGGAAGGAAGGAAAGGGCAGAGGGAAAACAAGCAGACATCAGCATCAGGTGTGAGGAGAAGAAAATTCAAATGATTATCAAGCTACATATACAAGTAGGCTGGTTTTCTCTGCTTTCTTTGCTGACTCCTGTGTGGTTAGCTGAAACAAATTAACCCTAACCTTTCCTCCTACATGTGTGCATGAACTTCAGAGACATCGTAGCACCCAAAGAAATGATTGACTTTGCCAATTTTCAGACAGATTGGTCCAGGGGTTTTTGTGCTAGCCACCTTTAAATGTTGTCTTTTAGAACAGTGGTCCCCAACCTTGGGCTCCCAGATGTTCTTTGACTACGACTCCCAGAAGCTTTTACCATCAACTCTGCTGGCCAGGATTTCTGGGAGTTGAAGTCCAAGAACATCTGGAGGCCCAAGGTTGGGGACCACTGTTTTAGAAGACCATTAACATGTTTGCTTCTTATATCATCCAAGTGTATGAAATTTGGGGCCATGGAAACTCTGCTCCCAGAGGGGTGTCCCTGCCCAGTTACAGGTAGATAAGTTTCAGTCTTTCCACATTTTCAGATTAATAAAAATGCTGCTCTTCTAAACTATAGTCTCCTCTATGATTCATGCGACCTGCTCTTGCACCAAGTTTTACGCTGAAGGGAGAACTGGCATAAGTACTCTCAGAAATAGTAAAGACAGACATAAAAGAAAACATGAAGACAGATCAAACATACTAAACAAACAACAAAGACTGAAATCAAGATAAAATCTAAATATTAAAATCTGGGGCTAAAAGGGGGAGAGGTAAGTCAAATTTCACTGCCTAATAAAAGCATTATTAAAACACTGGTGAAGAAAACACACACATTCACTCAACAACAACAAACTCAAAGAATAAGAAAGGATCAGACTGGAGTGAGAAACAGGAAAGGAAGACTGAATTTGGGGTACTGATAGGCTGAAAGAAGGAGGCACACAAACTACAGTAGAAATGAAACTGCCACCAGACATATTTTAAAAATGTTCCTGCTGTTAATTCACTAGAAAAGAGTACAACAGCATGCAAGATAATGGCATCATCTCTTCCCCTGAAGAATCTTGACTGGACTATTGATTGCTGGTGATATTATTGACCCAGACTGGAAGGTGCAGGTGTCAATGAACAAGTTCCTTCACCTTCCCTCATCCTAATGTCTTCTTTTTATGGTGCTTTTTTTGCATCAGTTTGGAAAAATCTGTTTTTCTTTTTCTCACTAAAGCAATTCAAACAAATTCAGACCTGATTTGGATTTGTTGAAATCAGTTCCATGGCCCAAGCCAAAAGGTATAATCACGGAAAGTGGTGTCAGATAAACTTTTGGATTATCTAAAGAAAGCGTCTAAAGAGCTAGAGGTTTCTTAGTTTTGTTGAAACACCACAGTAAAATTAATAAATGTATCAGATAACGTTTGTCAATAACAGGCAACTTCAAGAGTATCTCAAGATCAGTTAGCATCGAATCTTCCACAATAAATTTTGAGGGGTATAGAATACACAGTCATAGGTATGGCATTGCCTATTCTTCCCTACACTGAAAATGCTAAAAAAACAGAACACAGGACATCCAGCATGCCCTACACCACTAAGCTTTTTCCTATCACAAACAAATGTTTTGATGGATGTTGCTTGTTGTGATGTTTAAAATCTTCCATGACTTT